ACTGTTTCCGAGTCAACTGTAAAAATTTGAATCAATGCTGTTTGAACTGTAAAAGACCGAATTGTAAGAACTCCCACACCTGCAAAACTAAACATGCTACGCAAAATCAATCTACCTCTTCAACTGTTGACTATCAAAAGCACTACCCATCAAGTTTTTGTTATTATGTTGTTTCAAGTAATGGTGAAAAATCAGAACCAGTCCTTTTTCGCGGAGAAAATGCTGTGAAGGTATTTTGCCAAAAGATCAGAGATGAAGCTCTTAAAGTGTACGAGACGTACAAAAATAAGTTGCCTATGGAGTTAACGGATGAAGAAGTGGACATGTTTGAACGTTCATCTTGCTGTCACATATGTGAAGAACAGTTTACTGCTGATAATTTAAGGGTTAGAGATCACGACCCTAATACAGGGAAATTTAGAGGTGCAAGTCATTCAAATTGTAACTTGTCATATCAAAATCCACACTTTTTGCCCGTAGTCTTGCACAATATGTCAAATTATGACCTCCATTTTATTATTAAAAGTCTCGATTATGATGAAATGGAAATAAAGGTAATCCCTAATACAGAAGAACGGTATATCTCTTTATCAAAGAAAGTTGCTGCTAGATTTGAAATTCGTTTTCTTGATTCGTACAAATTTATGTCTAGAAGTCTTGATGAACTAGTCAAAAATCTTGACAAAAATCAATTCAATGAAACACTTTCTTATTTCGGTTATGATAAACTTAATATTGTTACAAAAAAAGGCTGTTTTCCCTACGAATACATAGATGGCTGGGAAAAATTTAATGAGACTAGCTTGCCTTCTATTGATCAGTTTTACAGCTCTCTAAATAAGTCAGAAGTTGCTGTAGAAGATTATAATAGGGCTGTTGAGGTTTGGAACAAATTTAACTGTCAAACCTTAGGAGAATTTTCTGATATCTACCTTAAGACTGATGTGTTACTATTAAGCGATGTATTTGAAAATTTCCGAAAAGTTTGTAAATCCAATTATGGTTTGGACCCAGGTTGGTATTTCACAGCTCCTGGCCTTTCGTTCGACGCGTGTCTTAAATTGACTAAAGTTGAAATCGATTTGTTAACAAGCTATGAACAGTACATGTTCATAGAAGCTGGTATTCGTGGTGGTATTTCTATGTGCACTAAACGTTACTGCGAGGCATCAAATAAGTATTTAGTTTCAGAAACAAATCTTGACTCGGAATCACAACCTGGTGTCAAACCTATGGATCAGGGACTCTGGACAGTTGATAATTCAAACTTTATATTATTCCTAGATATAAATAACCTTTATGGGGCTGCAATGGGAGAAAGTTTACCGTTAAAGGACTTTAAATGGTTAACCCCTGTTGAAATTGATGAAGTAAAAAATAAAATTAATGATATTGGTGAAAATGATGAAGTAGGGTTTATACTTGAGGTAGATCTAGATTATCCGGCACATCTACATGAACAACACAACGACTTACCATTTTGCGCCCAAAGAAAAGTACCACCAGGTAGTAAACATTCAAAATTGTTAACAACTTTAGAACCTAAACGTAATTACATAATTCACAGCCAAGCGTTAAAACAGGCCGTAGAGCATGGATTGGTTTTGGTTAAAATCCATAGAGGTATGAAATTTGTTCAGTCTAAGTGGTTGTATGGATACATCGAAAAAAACACAACATTTAGAAAAAATGCGCAAAATGAGTTTGAAAAGGAGTTTTTCAAACTCATGAACAATTCGGTTTATGGCAAATGTATGGAAAACGTAAGAAACAGAATGAATATGGAAATAGTTTGTAGCACTAAAAGGCTCGATAAGCTTATTGCTAAGCCTAATTTTCGTGATAGAACTATATTTACAGAAAAACTGATAGCAGTTCATCTAAATAAAACTAAAGTAAATTTTAACAAACCCATTGCAGTAGGTATGGCTATTCTTGAACTAAGCAAAATCGTAATGTATAGATATTTTTATGATATTTTTCCTCGTGTATTTGGTCAAGGAAATGTAGAACTATTATATACAGATACGGATAGTTACCTTATAAATGTAAACTCAGTTGACGTATATGAGCAAATCAAGGAGAATATACATTACTTTGACACTAGTGAGTACCCAATAACACACGCTTGTTTCTCTCTCGATAATAAGAAAAGACTTGGTGTTATGAAAGATGAAACTTTATCAGTTCCCCTAAAGAAATTCATTGGTCTTAGGACAAAGCTATATACTACTCTTAGTAAGAATTATGATTGTAAGAAACGTGCTAAGGGTGTAAAGAAAAGTGTTGTTAAAAATGAAATAACTTTTCAGGACTACGAGAGAGCTTTGTTTTGTAATCAAAACCAGTACAAAGAAATGAATATAATTAGGAGTAGGAAACATGATGTATACACAACGAAAGTACGAAAACTAGCGTTATCGTCTCATGATGATAAAAGATTTGTATTAAATGATAATATCCATACCATGGCATATGGCCATTACAAACTAATTGAGAATAAAAAAAGGAAAATTGATTTACACAAAGAACTGATTGCAAAAAAAGCTAAAATGACCAATGATTCTTGTTAAGCTCAAATTATTTGTTAGATTTGTATGTAAGTTAATTTAGTTTTTTACTTTTCAGATAATGTTTTTTTGGAAACTGTACCGGTCAGGTACGAACAACTTTCTGTTGACGAGGGCTTCCTTAATATGCCTGAATACGAGAACATGGGTCGGGTTGCTATACCTCTGCACGCATTTTTCCCTTCCTGTATTTACACTATAACCTTAAATCCTGGAGAAAGAAAAACCATATCTGCGGGTATAAAAATTAGAATACCTGAAGGTTATGAAGGACAAATTCGACCGGTAGCATGGCAAGCGGAAACTTTCGGGGTGACAGTTTTAGACTCTCCAGCGTCTATTGACTCCAACCATACAGACGTAGTCAGGGTTAACCTAATAAATCATGGAAACGAGCCGTTCAGCATTAATTACTGTAGTCACATCGCAGATCTTGTCCTAATAAAGGTTGCTAGGGTGTGTTGGGTCTTAAACGGTGGTTCCGAAGATCACGATGATCCGGACTGTAAATTAGAGGAAATAATTGTTGACAATCATGTGTCTGTCATTGTAAGAAGGGACATTATCTAGTTACAAATAAATCAAGTAATTTGAGCTTTACAGTAAATTTATGTAAATAGTGGAATAATAGAAAGTATTATGACTGTAATGAAAAAAACTGTAAACTTAACTTATCTATTTAGTTTGATTGTTTATGTTTTTAATTACTGTAACCATTGAATCTTCAAATTAATACATAGATTTTTTTTCATAATTTTGTAAGTGTAACAATTATATTTGACATTTGTTATGTATATTTGTAATTTTGATATGTTTGTAAATAAATATAAATTATTTTGACATACAATCTGTGTTCAGTGTTATTTATTACCTACCTTGTTTCAGATTAATTTATCTCCCTTTCATTTATCTGATATAAATATATATTTATACACAATTAAATATTACGTCATGAATAAAAACATAGTTATATCAATCAAAATAAGAGAATAGCATCATTTGATGTTTGACTTTCAAGACGATGAAACCAAGTATCGACAAGTTTGGAGGTTATATAGGTTTTACTTCCAAAGAAAACGTTGTAGTAGGACCTTCAGGAATAGGTTTCAAGCTAACTGATAAACAAAATTTTAATATTGAAAACAAAAGGTTAACAAACGTAGGGGAAGCTGTCGATTCTAGTGATGCCGTTACTTTAAATTATATTTCATCAAAATGTCTATTGTTAGAGGATAAACAAGTTAATTTAAGAAAGAGAAAAATTGTTAATGTCAATGATCCTGAATCAGACATGGATGTTGTTAATAAGAGGTACTTTCAAAATAGTATGGACAAAGAACTACGAGATACTATTAAGTTTGATAGAAAGAAATTTATTATTGATTGCGAAAATCATAATATTAAAAATATATCAAACCCTGTAGATGGAAAAGATGCAATATCTCTCGATTATTTCAAAAGCAATACTTTAATGTATGAAAATGGCAATTTTAATGCTAAAAGAATGAGAATTAACAATATTGGAGATCCTACCGAGTTAACGGATGTAGTTTCTAAACAATACATCGAAAATTATGTTAATTCACAGATTAATTTAAAATGTGTGACTTTTGGTATCAATGATGAAATTAATATGAAGAATAAACGATTGAGCTTTTTTAAAATTGAAAAAGATCCAACCGATGACTCTGATGCAATAAATAAACTTTATCTAGATAAAGAATTAGTTAGGGTAAATCAAATAATTAGCAAGACGGTGGAATCCTTCATTAAACCAGAAAAAGGAGAATTAAACTTTAAAAAGTTTATAATTAATATAAATGAAGCCATAAATAATTATTCTCCCATTACTTTAGGTCAGGCAAGAACACTCATGCAGAAGTATTTATACATTGATGACAAAAGTGAAGTAAATATCAATAATTCAATAATAACAAATGTCAAAAAGCCAATTGAAAGACATGATGTTGCAAACAAAGAATATGTAGATGAAACAGTACGAAGCAACAATACAACTTTAGTTGAAGTGGTACTGAGGGAAATGATAAAGGATTATATTAAACCTGATATGAATGGTGTCATAGATTTAAAAAAGTATAATATTCAATTGGTTGTCAAAGCGAGCGAGAATGAAAATTCACCTGTGACTCGTAAACAATTAGATGCTTTCAAAAACAGGATAAACTCTGATATGTCACGTATTGATGAAAAGCTTAAGGTTTTTTATCCAGCTTCTTCGTTGACTGCAAGGTCCCGAAATAGAGAAGGTAAGCCCATATCAGATGTCATGAGTGCAATGATAAATGACTTAGCTTATCTTAGGTCTGAAATAAAAACCTTGAAAGAAAGTAAATCAACAGAAGATGATGATAAAGACGACTTTTGGGATAGGGTAGGTAAGTTGAATAGCAAGTAGGACTGGTCATCAGTATGGTTCTGAGCTTCAAACGAGGTGGAGGTCTAATTAATAAGCTTATTGATAACCTACCTTTTGAGGCACATCTGTTGGGTGGATACCAATTTTGTGGGGCTGGTACTAAATTGGAGAAACGTCTGGCAAGGGGCGACAAAGGGATCAATCCACTTGATAGTTACTGCAAGGAACACGATATAGCATACGCTCAGAACAAGGATTTAACGAGTAGACACAAAGCTGACAGGCTGCTGGCCGATAGGGCGTGGACGAGAGTATCGGCTCCGGACGCTAAACTCGGTGAAAAGGTAAACGCTTTTTTAGTAACGAACGCTATGAAAGCAAAACTTAAACTCGGTGCTGGTATGAAGAAATCGAAGTCAGAAAGTGTTACAAAGAAAAGGCAGAAAAGGAGTCCGAAACATGACAGTAAGAATGGAAATACACAGAAGAAACACCTCAAGGATGCTATACTGGCGGCTAAAAACGAACTTAAAAAGAGTAAAAGCAAAGAACTTAAGGTATTGGTTCCTGCAGCGTTGAAAGCTGCAAGAAATGCGATGAGGGGTGGTAAAAAGGATCAAATAAAAAAACCTAGAATCATACCCATACCCAAATCTGGAGGAGCGTTACCGTTCCTGTTGCCATTATTTGCCGGACTGTCTGCCATCGGAAGTCTGGCCGGCGGAGCTACCTCAGTGTATAAAGCCATAAACGAAGTTAACAGAGCAAGAAAGGAAAATGTAAGTGACGTTAAGATTAAAACAGGAAAAGGATTGTATTTGAGACCATACAAACAAGGGATGGGTATTTTTTTAGATCAAACGCACTAACCAATCTGGATTTGGAAAGGTATGCTAAACGATTGAAAATACCTTACTTTAGAGGAGTATTCTCTAAGGATAAACTGCCTTTGCATCCATGGAATAAAGAAGCGATAATCATAAACTTAGACGATGATGATGGGCCCGGGACTCATTGGGTCGCTTTACGTAAAGATGGATCACATGCAAAGTATTACGACAGTTTTGGGAACCTCAAACCACCAATGGAAGTTATACATTATTTAAAAAACTGTATTATTTTGTATAACTATGTTAGGGATCAAAATTTTAACACTGAAATATGTGGACAGTTGTGTTTGAAATTTCTGTCTGATTGTAATTAAAATATTCTCCAATAACTATCTCAGTCATTATTTGACCATCGTACAAGCAACATGTCTCACCTATTTGTAATTTCGGGAAATAGTTCACTCTTAAGCTGTGAAATATTCCCCAAAATTGAACTAGAAAATGATCGAGATTACGTGTTAGGGTTCATCAATTTTGAAACATTTAATTCAATTCCAAATGTTGAGGAAGGGTGTAATATGTTTTATTATCTTACCGATAAAAATGAAGAGGTGGGTATAGAAATACCTACTGGATCATATGAAGTTAAAGATTTGCAAAAGTATTTACGAAAGGTTCTTGGAGATAAGAGAGGTGAAACAGAAACTGACATCGATACTAGCTTATCATACAAAAATGCGTATCCCATTAATCATGATGTACTGATAACAATTCAACCAAACAATAATACGTTAAAAAGTGAGATAAAGTGTTCCAAAGACATCGACTTCACTCCTTCAGACTCAATAGGTCCTTTATTAGGTTTCAAAAATAGAAAATTAAACAAGTTTTTCACTCATGTGTCGGATGGAACGGTAAACGTCTTAAAAGTCAATACTATAAACGTGGAGTGTAATATAATTACGTCTTCGTTTGTAAATAGTAATCCAAGTCATGTGATACATACATTCTTTCCCACTGTTCCACCAGGATTTAAAATAGTTGAAACTCCCGCCAATATAATCTATCTTCCAATCAACACAAGGACGATTGATAACATATCCCTTAAAATAACTGATCAAAATGGTAAACCTATCAATTTCCGTGAAGAAACCATCACAGTAACATTACATCTTAAACGTTTGTAATCATGCCTATGATCTTCACCCCAGTTAAGAACATACCGTATTTGAAAACCGTGAACATTTCTACACCGGACACCGTGAAGAGAGGTTCTCTTTCTAAGAGTAATAGAGACTTTTTAGTATCATTAGGCTTAAAAATTAAACATGGCTGGTAGTATATTACAAGTAAGAGAGCAAATTTACTTTGACGAATCGATAAATAAAATAGAAGTACACGCACATCAACCATATGCTAATTCTTCATTCAACAATAATGATGAAATTAGAATACCAATCCAACATCAAGATATCTATACGTATCCCTGCAACAGTACTCTCTACATCGAGGGGGTGGTTAAATCAACAAATACAAAATTCATTAATAACGGATATGCTTATTTATTTGATGAAATACGATACGAAATCGGTGGAGTTGAAATAGATAGGGTGAAAAACGTTGGAATTACAAGTACAATGAAAGGTTATCTGTCTTTTAATGATAGTGACATTAAAATGTTAACTAATGCAGGCTGGACGAGTGAAAAAGGTAGTTTATTGACTCTCAAAGAAGACAGTACAAATAAAGGTACTTTCTATTTTAATGTCTGCATTCCTCTTAAGATTTTAATTGGGTTCGCTGAGGATTATAATAAAATTATATTAAACGTTAAACAGGAACTTATACTTATAAGATCAAGAACTGACCTAAATGCTATGCTTGGTGAGGTTAAGACTGAAACAGGAGCTGCAGGTACAAGTACAAGTATCGAGCCAACGATGGACATTAACATCAAGAAAATTCAATGGAGAGTTCCCTACGTATTCCCATCAGATCAAGAAAAACTATCTTTACTCAAAGTTATTGAAAAAAATCAATCAATTTTCATCAATTTTAGAACATGGGAGCTTTATGAATATCCTTTATTACCACAATCAAATAGACAGACATGGAATGTAAAAACATCAACTCAGTTGGAAAAACCACGATATGTTGTATTAGCATTTCAAACGGACAGATCAAACAATATCAAAAAAAATGTCAGCGAATTTGATATATGTGACGTTTCAAATGTAAAACTTTATTTGAATTCAGAGTGTTACCCGTATGACGATATGAACCTTGATCAGTCCAAGAATCAGCTAGCGATTCTTTATGAAATGTATGTAAAATTTCAAGAAAACTACTATTTTAAAAAGGGCGAACCCCTATTCACATATAGTGAATTTGTAACACATGCTCCGTTAATTGTAATCGATTGTTCCAG